CCGTATTTGGATCTTGTCGAGAACCTCAAAATAAACAGCGGGGGCAGCAGATCATATATGGCAACAGTATTCCATGCATGGACGAATTATATGTGTTAAATGCATTCGAGTTGATTTCATTGTAAACATTCAAGGAATGGTATTTTGTTATTAACACTGAGTTAGTATTTTTAGTTCAGAGTTTTTTCAAAAGTTGATATTAGATTTTTAATTTCATTGCTATTTTTCACTACTATAAGAATACCATCAACATACCTTGTATTGATCTGCGGTATGTTTATTGTATTGAACATTTCTTTTTTGACATATGTCATGTAAAAGTTAGACAAGGGGTTAGTTCTCACTAAGGGGTTGCCCATACTGACTCTGTTGGTTTTGGCGTAGAAGTCGCCTTTATAATCATAGAAATTATATATTTTTAATCATTTCACTCCAGCCTGGTAATAAATGACTGGGAAGCAAGAATCTAGAAGAGAGTTCCACAAGGGAGAAGTGCGAGAGAAGAAACTGTTATCATACAATTTCAACTGTAAGAGGATGAGACCTTGCACCAATTTAGTAGTATGCGTAAATTCATAAAAAAATCCATATACCAAATAGGAAAGTTCATCAGAATATATATATATATATATATATATATATATATATATATATATATATATATATATAAAAAACTTTAAACACTAATATTTCATGGTTATAATTTATTACAGTGGAATCGTATTATGATTCAATTCATCAGACCTATAATGAATTTGTAGGTCTGATGAATTGTATCGTAATTACGATTCCAATATAATAAATTATATCCATGGAATATTAGTGTTTAAGCCTTTTTATTATATTCTTACTCTGGGAAAATTTTAAGCGAATGGTATTAAAAAGGAATTCACTGGCTTTTAACATTCAATACTGACCAAAACAAACTAGTAACTTTTCGAAAACTTTGTTTTGCCTATCATGAAAAACGGTTATTAGCACCTTGCATTGAACGCCTACTGGGACTAAAGTTTATACCGGGCATCAAGTAGAACTCGTATATACGATCCCTCGCTAAAGATATTGGAAAAATAGTCGGGTACGTTTTACCGCATTGCCTTCCAAAAGCTAAGCAAGATATTAAGAAACAGGAAAATTTTCATTGGAAGCAAAGAAAAGAGTACAAAACTCATATGCAATTTCGGTATTCCTATATGGCAGTGAATGCTGGATCGTCTCATCACGGTGGGAGACGAGACTTGAAACAACAGAAATGTGTTTCTACAGAAGGATGCTGAGAATACCATGGACTGAACACGTGAGCAACGACAAAGTTTTAGAGAAATCAGAATCAAAAAGGACACATACACGTAGCATCAAAAAGAGACAGTTGAAATTTCTAGGGAACATTATGAAGAAAGAGAGCTTGGAAAATTCGACACTCACAGGACATATTGAAGAAAACAGCGCATAACTTACCTAAAGAGCCTATGTAAATAGTTGGCATGAAGATATAGCAAAAAGACAAACTTTCTAAAGGCTACAAAAGACAGGAAGCTGTTGAGAGCCATGAGCGCCCACGTTTTGAAGAGAAATAGCACATAGAAGAAAACGAAATACTCGGCTCTTTACAAGCGCCAGATTGTAGCAAAAATGAAATATAGCTGCCATGAATGCGTTGGAGTCCTCACTTCCCACTCTTGATAAAGTTTAAAAACGTCTACGCATCCTTGTAGGTGATGAATTATTTTCCACAAGCGAAACATTACAAGCCTCTCTCTACACTATCGCTATTTCCATGGCAAATGTTTTGACGAGTTGCATTCCTTAGGCCTACCAGTTCAGACCTTCACAACTAAGATCCACCATGAGACGTACACTTGGACAATTTACACCCGATCTCTTTGTATTCCATTTTCGATAGTTTCTTTCTTTGTGAAACAGGCTCCCGAGATGATGCTTTCCCGATCACTGCACTCTTCACTTCTTTAAATCTAGGGTTAACCATTATCTTTCCCACATAGCCTCATAAAACGCACTTCTTACCTCCCTCTTTTACGCTCATGCAGACAACATCTAACTAAACCGTAGCTCTATGGATCCATCTCTGATATTTCTGTAATCTTACATGAATAAAAAAAAATGCGCTTTGCAGGACATTGCACGTGAGCAAGACAAGAACTCGCCAGTGATCTACTTGCTCTGGAGACCTAGCCTTGGAGCAAGACGTGCTGGTCGCCCAGCAAACACCTACATTGACCAGCTATATTATGACACAGAATGCCACCCTAATGACCTTCCGAGCTTGGTGCAGGAGCGTGATGGTTGGCGTGATAGATTCATGAATGTCCGAGTGAGCTCGACCGAATAAAATAAAACATCTTAAACTATGTTAAATTGTGTGTGTGCATGTACTTCTTTCTTCTTCTTTTTTTTTTTTTTTTTTTTACAATGTTCACCCTGTAGAAGATCCATATATATTGTCTCCGGAGAATCAATAAAATGTGTTGAATATTTTACATATCTAGGAAGCGAAATAAATTCCACTGAAAAGGAAGTGAATATTCGTATAGCTAAAGAATGGACCACCTTGAATAAAATGGATGTAATCTGGAAATCTGATCAGTCATAGAACTTCAAGCGGAGATTCATTCACGTCACTTTAGAGACGGTTTTAATGTTATGCCGCCGCTGCCTGGATATTAACTACAACTCTATAGTCTAAGCTTGATGGAATCTACATTAGGAATCTGAGAGCTATACTTAAAATCTCTTGGAGACAACATCCAATTAAATCACATCTCTATGGACTCATCCCTGATAATTCTACAATCTTACGCCAAAGCAGAATGCCCTTCTCAGAACACTGATGACGAACAAAACAAAACTTCGCTAGTGATCTACTGCTCTGGACACCTAGCTATGTCACAAGACGGATTGATTGCCCCACAGCCACCTACATTGACCAGCTATGTTATGACACAGAATGCCACACTAATGACCTTCCTTCCTTGATGCAGGACCATAATGTTTGTCGTGATAGTCATAACAAATTTAGTACAGGAGAAAAGAAAACCCTAGAGTCCAAGCTTGATGGAACCTACATTAGGAATCTGAGAGCTATACTTAACATGTCCTGGAGACAACATCCAACTAAATCACAGGTCTTCGGACACATCCTTGATATTTCTATAATCTTACGGGAACGAATAATGCGCTTTGCGGGACACTGTTGGCGAGCAAAACAAGAACTTGTGAGTTATCTACTGCGGTAGACACCTAACCATGGTGCAAGACGGGCTGATCGCCCAGAAAGCACCTACATTGACCATCTATGTTAATACACAGAATTCCACCCTAATGACCTTCCAACCTTGATGCGTGATAGACTCGTGAATGTCCAAATTAGCTCGACAGAAAAAAATATTAGTGATACAGGCAAGTTTGAGGATTTAGATTTGAATGGTTTCATGGGTCTTCCTAATTTATCCACAGTTTCGAATCTTGCAATGGGCTTCTTTCCATTCTCGGCTAATTAGCATATTTCATTCTGCAATTTAAACAACTACCCACTCAGATTTTATTAACAACACTCCCTTTAGATCTCTCTTGGCCAGGTTTTCAAATCATTTACCACTTATCACTGCGCGCTTCAAACATCTTTGGGGGTTTTACATGTCTCAACAAATAGAGCGTTACCCTCTGATACATTTTCGGCAAACATGGATAAGTGTGCCCGCAATCAGACGGTGTCTGAAACGGACGGCTTTTACCATTACACCGCTTTTATTTTAAATACCTTAATTCTTCGGCAATGTTTATTGTTTTAAAAAGCGATGATTAGAATTGGAATAAAACCTAAATACATAAAAATGAATTCATACATTTTCTTTGTTCTTGAGAATTGTCAACAAAAACAATAAACACTATTTAATTATTATATTATTTATTGGAATAGTTTATAAAATATCGGGTAATTGCCAATCGATTCAAACTTTATAAAATAATAAATAATAAAGATTTCCTTATAATTGATTCAAATATTTTAATAATTTATGCTTATAAATTTATGAATAAAAATTGTTTTTAGATTTATATACAAATTGGTAAATAATAAATATTGTATTGCATTAGTTCTAATTGAATTAGTTTTTAGAATGTTGCAAATATAATTTTTCTTGTAATTAAACAATCTAACACATAAAGTTTTTGAATATTTTTGTTGTAAATTCTCAAGAACAAAAAAGTATAAATTCACTTTCATCATGTCTTTAGGCTTTTTATTACCATTCTAATCATCGCTTTTTAAAACAATAAACATTGCTGAAGAGTGAAGATAGTTAAAAAAAAAAAGTTGTGTCATGGGAAAAATTGTCCTTTTGAAACTACGTCTTATTGTGGACATGTTTGTTCATGTTTACCACATTTTCTTGGTGATTTCTAGTGGCCGCAAATAAACTCCAAGGTCAAGTTCACATAGCCTATGTCACGGCTGGGTGTATGTCATTATTAATACATTAAAAACATTAGGTCAATGAACCTTGTCGCTTAAACATGATTGTGGTACGGACACATACATACAAACAGAAGCACACACACGCACGCACACACACACACACACACACACGCACGCACACACACACATATATATATATATATACAAATTTTAGCAAATTCCATTGGCAAGGTCTATCTATTGAAATTTATAACATATCTTTCCAATTTCGGTGGAGTAATGGATAGCGGCTCGGATTGAGGAATCGGAGAACCGAGTTCGAATTCCAGTCGAATCCACGTGCTAATAACCTTGGGGAAGGTATGAATCCTCTTCTTCTCCCACCCACCCCCAGCTATGGGTAAATAGCAGGACAGACCGGGTTCTATAGCCTTGGATGGCAACTGGTCTACCGCAGAAAGAAATGGCAACCTACTGCGGAAAAATAAATCTGCCTCACGCATGACACATAACTGAGTGAATTTCGGAATGAGGTGTTGCACATCGGGACTGAAGTTATGAGGCTTACGTCCACATCACGTTTTGAAATATCCGTTCTCGTACGATCACCGAAGTTAAGCAACGTCGAGCTTGGTCAGTACCTAGATGGGTGACTGTTTGGGAATAATAGGTGATGTAAGCATGGGTGTGCGGATAGTTTAAAGGGTTTACGGCTACATCACGTTGAAACGCCGGTTCCCGTACGATCACCGAAGTTAAGCAACGTCGAGCTTGGTCAGTATGTAGATGGATGACCACCTGGGAATACCAGGTGCTGTAAGCTTGAATGTACGGATGGTGTAATGAACAATGGCTCGGAATTGTTAATTGGAGAGCCGAATTCAAACTGGATTTGTTATATTCACTTAGGCGCAAATAACCCTTCGAAGGGTATGAAGTCACCTCTTCTCCACCATTAGTAAGACTTCCATTTGTATCACTAAAACTTTCTTACAATCTAAAAATCTGGCTTTAAATAAGTCGCAAAGATTGATAAGCAATAGTAAATAAATCAATCAAGTTTTGAATAAATTATTCAAAGTTCATGGTTTTCTTGTTAGATTCTAGCATTTTCGACCAGCACAGTCATTGTCAAGTACGGGTGTTATCAGTATAGTAAACAAGATTGGGTGTGCGGGTGTGTAAAGTGGCTCGGAATGAGAGTCGAGTTCGAATTCCAATCGAATTTTATTTATTACTTAATTATTTATTGTTAGTTATTATTATTACATATTGGTAGCTTGTTAAATTGTTTAGTATTACATAATTTGTTTATTTTTAAATTTAGATTTTTTGTTTATTTTTTTTTTTTGATTGCTTATCGTATTAGTTTATTTTAAAGTATCGGCTTTGACTAAAGTATTTCATTTTTAACGTTGCATAACATGGCGTTATTTCACAATGAATTCACTTTTTACATCATTCGGACTATTGTCCTCATCTTTGTCGCCATATTTATTACAACGTTTCTCAAGGACACAAGGCAGAGTGGATAAAGGCGTTGGTTAGATCCAGTGACAGGGCCCAAAGAATGTGAGTTCAATATCCGGTTAAGGCAATGAAGAACATGGAGAAGGGAATTAACAGGAGATAACTGATAACTGACATCCAAGAGAAATGAGTTTATGTTATATCATCTTAATCTACTGAAGTTGTTTTTGATTAATTGATTTGTTTTTGACGGCTTATCAGCCCTTTGCAGGTTATTTAAAACCACAACTATTTTTAGATTGTAAAAACCTTTTTTTTTATTGAGGGAGAGACAATAATGGTTAAGTGAGACAAGTCTAACTAATTAACCCATATCTTGAGAGGAAGAAGAGCTAGATTCATACCTTTCTCAAGGATATTTGAGCGTAAGTGAATATAACAAACCCAACAGGAATTGGAACTCGGCTCTCCGATTAACAATTCCAAACCATTATACATTACACCACCCGCACATCCAAGCTTACAGCACCTGGTATTCCCAAGCGGTCATCCAGCTAGTTACTGACTAGGCTCGACGTTACTTAACTTCGGTGGTACTACAGGAACCGGTATTTCAACGTAAAGTGGCCGTAAGCTTGACATTGCTTGTTTTATGTGTGCGTTTGAGCCGCGTGGGAGGTACCTCTGGCCAAGTGTGGGGGCTTCTCCATTGTACATATTTGTCCATCAAAATCAAATTCACGGGAATGGCCTCGTCAAACTCTCTTTGATTCACAGCCATCTTCGCCACCGCTCCAGGGGAGAGAAAGGAAATAGGGGGACAGGATGACGATCCAGATGAGCGGGTGCCGACAGTGTTTTAGAAGATAGGTTTTTAGGTTGCAGTGATATACTTACATGTGAATGATTGTCTAATTTCCATATCAGAAGGAGAATACAAAAGGTCTACACGAAGTCGCAACAAGAAGAGTGATTATTGTTAAGTTAGTAAATGTACTAAGCGGCGTGTGAACACCATAAAATATTCTTCAAAATGGATAAGTGATTTTTTCCGTAATGAAATCAAAAAAAATAAAAAATTACTACCCTCTGTTTTTAAATATTTACCAAAAGTAAAGAATTGATTTAGTGTGATACGGATACTGTTTCTGGCTCGGCTAAAAGCCGCGATAACCTAAATTTTCACATTATTAGCTAAGGTAAGTGGAAATAGGATGAAAGAAAATGAGTGGAAGGGAGGAGTATCAACACGAAGACATTTTCTTATATTTTTATATAAGGGATTAACGAAAGATTTTGTCTCCAGTGTTGACGTTGATACTTAACGTATCCAAGTAGGAAAAAGAGAAAGAGGAAGATACGTTCGTCCTTTTATAGTACTTAAACAGCGCTACTTAACGGCGTCCTGACAGAGAAGGTGGAGGTAATCCCCATAAGTGATATACTTACATGTGAATGATTGTCTCACTTCCATATCAGAAGGATAATACAAAAGGTCTACACGAAGTTGCAAGAAGAAGAAGAATGATTATTATTGTTACATTTGCAAATGTACTAAGCGGCGTGTAAATACCATCAAATATTCTTCAGCTCGGAACTCAAAATGGATGAGTGTTTTTTTCCGAAATGAAAGCAAAAAAGGAAATATATAATTTCATATATATATTTACCAAAAAATAAAGAATTATTTGATTTCTACAAAGATAATACAAAAGGTCTACACGAAGTCGCAACAAGAAGAAGAGTGATTATTGTTTCGTTAGCAAATGTACTAACCGACTTGCAAATACCATGGAATGCCTTTCTTCAACATATCACAAGCTAGACAAATTTTGAAATTGGTTTAATTTGGAATAAGGTCATCATTTTTTTTCGGTGTTTCTGGGACTTGATCCGGATTGGTTTAAGATTAAGTTAGGTTCAGTTTATTTTTATAAATTTTCTAGCTAAATTGCTTGTGTCCCCACTGTAAAATCATTGTAGCTATGGAAGGAAGGAAGGACCGACCAATAAACCATATCCTAAACAAGAAACAATGGATAAACCTCTACTCTTGTTCAATAAACATGGGAACCTAGATGAAATTGAAATTTGTTTATTTTGGAATAAAGGTCACTTTTTTTTAAGATGACGTTAGGATCTGATCCGGGTTAGTTTAAGATTAAGTTAGGCTCAAGTGATTTTTATAAAGTTTCGTTAAACGAAAGAAGAAAAACAGAAAATTCAGGACAGTTCCATCTTTCAGTGACAAAATAAAAAATGTTTCATCGGCGTACGAGTTGGGAGGTCATAGGTCAGAGTTGAGGCTCGAACGGATCGTTCATTTTCAGTGCGAAAGCTAATTATTTTCCGGCCCAAGTCTGTCTGTGCCCGCCACCCTGTAAAATTAAAAAAATTTCCCCAGTAGGCCTAAGATTTTGTTTCGTAGAAAACACAACAGGATTAGGATTAAAAAAAAAAATTAGAATGAAATCTACAATTTACTTTACCATATGGTAAAAAAAAGATAACATAGTAAATTCATGATTTATTGCAAACAATTTTCCCTCATTTTTGATTAGCATGTGTCGTAATGAACTGTTTTAATTTTTCTATAGGATTTTAAACAGATCCATTTAAAAGAAAAAGAAGTTTCAGACGTTAGAACAAAACCCCAACTGAATTATACACTTTGAAACAATATCTCCAGTTATGAAGATTTCACCTGTTATTATTAAATATTATTAACTATTATTAAGTATTATTAACTATTATTAAGTATTTAACAAAAGACAGATCCCTTCAGAAGTAGAGAATTTAAGCCTCGTTATGATTTTTTTAATTTAAGCCTCGTTATGAATTTTCTTTTAATTTAAGCCTCATGAATTTTTTAAAAAATTCCCTCCAAAGAAGGCGATGATGCCACGATGATGCAAGGGGTTAAGGAGAGTGAAAGAGAATGAGGAGACTTTAGTGATGAGAAATTACAATAAATGAACAGGTTTCAGGAAAACAGAAGATGACGAGAAAAGAGAAGAGAACATACGATTAAAATATTTCAAACACTAAAACCTAGTTGAGAGACCTATTTGCATATCTAGGAGTACGATTAAATTCATGGGGTCAAGGTACAAAGGAGGAGAACTCATTAAAGCAAATACCATGAAAAGATTTATAGAAAAGATAGAGAGAAGCCACGTCATAGCGTTTTGAAATGAAGTCGAGATGCCAGGTCAGGACCCTCTTTTGGATTTTGTCGAGAATCTCTGAACGTATAGAAGTAGACCAGATATGGCTGCAATGTTCAATACATTGACGAATAGTAGATTCATAAATGTGCAAGATGGATTTTGGACTAGAAACATTGTCTGGGACAACACAGGGACCAACTCTCCTGGCAGTAGACCTAGGAATTGGTTCAATATAATCACGTCACTTCATGCCAATGGGAAATGCGAGACCAAAATGAGTTGCTATCTTGGAGGTTAGCATCAATCATGCTGACTGATGACAAAAAGCTTCTCTAGGATGATTAAAAGATAGCAATTTCGTTTTGGAATTTTTCAAGTTTTTAATTGTCATTGGCTTGACAGCAAGAATTAAATCTGTACGTGGGTAGTCATTGAATTTTCGCATCGGTAGTAATTAATGGCACTTTATACTGGAGATGAAGTGACAGCAAGCATCCTCATCATTTCGAGCTGTTTTCAGCAGTCATCTCAAGTTGTCGCTTGTTAGAAAAGTCGAAATCGTTTTCTTACTTATTTGCTGTAGTGTTTATGTAGTTGCCTTTTTAACTGGAAGAAGCACGAATAGTTTCAGAGTACCTATTTTTGTAATTGCTTTTTTTATAGCACATAGTGTAGCTTTCCGTGATACATGCCTACCTGCCTGATGATGGCGGGACGTGTTTGGTTTGTTTGAATTGCATGGAGAGTGACGGGGTGTGTGGGGGGCTAATATGTTGCCGTCATTTAAGAAGTGAAGAAAACAACCTAGAGAGAAACGTCAACTGATGATACTCAAACGAAAGAAAGGGGTGAGAGAACTATGGCAGTCTTAGGCGCGAATGATCAGCGCGCGCTGTGTGTGTGTGTGTGTGTGTGTGTGTGTGTGTGTGTGTGTGTGTGTATGTCTGTGTCTGTAGGCGTACAGTCGTAAATATGCATGCGTCTGACTTCTTCGCCATTTGAAAAAACAAGAATCCATCTTTCTTTTTTATTGCTCTTATTGTTGATAGTAGTAGTTTGAGTTTGGTTAGAGTAATAGACAAGAGAAAAGGAGGTTCAGAGGTCCTATTTCGGGAGTTAGAAACTTTTTTTTTCACCTAAGGACTCGAGATAGGAAAGTGATTTTAGATTTACATTCAGTCGAAAACATTCGGATCTGATTGTTTGAGTTATTCGTTACCCATGAGCATAGAACGCCTGACCTGTATCATCGCTTAACTTAAACACTAAACGATTCCTAAGTGAGTATTATTATGAGCGCGAACATAGATAATGATAATAATAATAATAATAATAATAATAATATAATATATATATAATTTTTTCATATAGACAAAATTTTCGTTCTCATTACATTCGGATATTGGTGGCATTTGTAAAATAAAACTTTTAATAATTAAAAGTAGAAAATGGAATTTAAAAGATTTAAGGTTCAATTTTTTTTTTTTTTTTTTTTTTTTTTTTTGCGAGTGTGGACAATGATTTTATTTTTGGCGGAGGAAGTAAAAAAAAAGAAAATAATTTTTTTTTTCTTCAAATCATTGCATACACAATATTTCATTATTTTCTTCATGTGTGTGTGTGTGATGCTTCCTATTTATTTCCACCTCCCACAAAATCTACAACAGAAACAAGAAACTTAATAACACCGTTGAATAAAGAAATTTTTCTGCTACAAATTCCTATTTTTATCCATAGTTACCATCACTGGTTATAAAACATTTTCATCAAAATGAAAGAAAAGAATATTGACGCTTGTAAACAAGTCACACTCACATCATTGTCGCCATTACTGAAACGTGTTAGCTACCACCTGTGATTACATCCATTGTTTCGTTTCCGTAAACGTTCAGTCGGCGTCGATGAATATCAATAGGCATACTTTTTCTGTACTCAAAGGCTTTGTGCACACTTTCATGTCAGATGTCATTTTGCCAGAATGCTGTTATTGGGAGGTTCGAATAATTGTCGAAAGGGTTATAATCCCTATTATCATAATAACAACATGAGATCTAAAACGAAAAGGAATCAAAGTCCTATGAGCTATCATCCCAACCTGCACCTTCCGATTTCACTTTGGGAGGATCGGGACCAATACCTGATCCCTGAGGCGTCCCCAAAATAGAAGTACCAAGGAAATTGAATAATTCTTTGGACTCCCCGCATGTACGTGAGCAGGGCCTCACGTTTAATAAATGCAGCGTTGTACCAAATCGAGTAACGTAACCTGACAAGATTATGTATAAAACTCTGACGGGGCAAATATAATAAAGTTCAAAAGTATATAAAATTACTTTGGGAACAGCCACCATATTTTCATCATCTTAAAAGAAAAAAATCCGATGGCTAAAAAACTAAAAGCGATTTAATGTCAATAATATGCCGTAATAACCAAATTGAATTCATTTGAAATACTTTTAGTTTTCAATGAAAAGTCTTTTCATTTAAAAATGTTTTTCGTCATCACCAAAAGTGCTGCCACGGACTTTCTATAAAAAAATATAAATGAATAAAATACTCCGAAAAAAACACATTTTAAATGCCTACTTCCAATTTAAATTTCGGTTCTGTTTCATAAAATAATGTTATTGTTCTAAATCTAAAAGAAAAATTAATTTCCGTATATAAATAAACTTTTTAAATGAAAGTATCCATTTCAATGTTACCTAAAATATTTTTCAATTCAAATAAAAAAAAATTTCATTTTTATTTCTTTGTTTGAAAAATGCGTCAAATTGAAATTGAAATACCCCAAACAAAATCTTTGATTATTGCAATATTTGAATCAAAATAATTAACAATGCAACATCAACTGTTTCAGTTGATTTATTATTGAAATGTAAAAAATGAACTTCTCATGCAAATAAAAATAGAAATTCTATAGATAGATACATACATACGTACGTACATACATACATATATGAATAGGCTTATAGATAGATACATGCATGCTCACTGTTTGTAATTGTGTTAGTCTAAGTTACGTGTAAATAAGGCGCCTACCATAATAATGCAATACCAATTCGTCTGGCAGTTCAAATTTGCTAATGAGTTCGATCCTCTGGGTGCTGAACTAGTCTGGTCTTGTGCCAGACTAAATATTAATAAATAATCCATTATGTTTAATAAATAAATGGATTATTTATTTTTAAATTATTTAAAAAGAAAAGGTTATATAAAAAGTGCGATAAAAAAAGGATACATTTTAAAAATGTAAAAAAAAAGGTTACCTTTTAAATTCTTATCAGATAAAAAGTAAAGAAATTTACAAAATTTAGCAATCTTAATAATTGATGCAAAAAACATATTTTTAAAAGAATTTCACAAATGCTTAATGTTTTGGCGGGATCGAATTTTAACGTCTGTCCAGTTTTTTCCGGGATAACAAAGCAAATTTAAGATTACCAATTATCTACTAAATATACGTTTTTTTTTATGTATATTTATAAATATAGAAATACATATGACTTATATGTGATTTTCTCTTCAAATAAATAATTTTAAAAATGTTTCTCCATTTTTCCAAAACCGATCCGAAAAATACACAATAAAAAATGGCAAACGTATGAAGAAAAATTGAATAAAATTTAATACTTGCTTCATAAATTACACATCAAGAGTTATAAAACTATATTTTTCTTTTCTTATAAATTATTTGTTTTTAATTTGTGAATATTCTTTTCTTTTTTTTAAAGAATTAAATAAAATTGCTCGTTAATTGTCGCGGTATTTTCACAAATGATTACTTTCCGTTCGTTTCTAATTGTTTTCATGTTTAAAATAAAAAGGCGTATTTTTCTACGTTTCAAGATGCAGATGTTTAAAAGATAAATAAAAGATAGAAATTGAATCTTTTTTAAGGATCATTAATAATAAAGAAATATAACAAGAAACTTGATAATAAAAGGCAAAATAAATTTGGTAATATTACAGAAAATAATCGTTGTTGAATGAAACCGACAAGGTCTTTTCATTTCACTCACATATTTTTCTGTGGTACAATAAGAATAAATAAGACATAGTTTGGTGGATTTTAAAAGCTTAGAATGAATTTAAATTTCCTCAATTAAATTAATAACAGGTAAAAAGTGTTTTTTCTAAATAAAACTAATTCAAAAATACATTCAATTCGGACAAATGAATCTGGTTCCTTGTATCTTGATGTAGAGATGCAAACTCCGAACTGGGCCAACACAGTGGCAATAATAGATTTGAATTAAAGGAGTTTTTAAAATACAACTCCAATCTAAAATTTGTTTATTAACTTTATCTTATAAAAAAATTAATGATCTACAAATAGTTACATGAGCAAGAAACAGTTTAAGGAATTTTTAAAAGAATTTTTAAGAATATATTTTCTTTTGGTTAAAACTGGAAGCGAGAAAAATGGCGGAGCTGAAAAAGAAATTGTGTTTGTTATGGTAATCAGAGCCATCATAACTGTCATATATGAAGGTGTCAGATGATGATTTTTCTCCAGATGGTTGCCATATGATTATTTTTTCAGTTGGTAATGATAAAATACAAATGTATGAAATCGATTTCGTAATTTTCAACTTTGAATGAAGCCTACCCCGATTTCGATGAATCGACAACACGTCATATTGTTTGAAATAACAAACGAGAGAAAGTAGTTAGAAGAATAATTTCTTTTGAGGATTGTAGATTAATGTCTTGGGATTGATATGGAATGGTGGAAGAATGTGTTTCTCTCATGGACATCACCTTAATCAACGGGGAACATGTCACGAAGAAACACATCTGTCGTTGAACAGCTGCCATTTTGTTGTCTCAGCGTCGGTTGTGTTGTGTGCCTACAACTACGTCCGCGCTTTGTCTATAAATAAAGAAGTGGCAGGCACCCACCAGCATTGCTGACGTGAACGGCACACTGATCGCTTCTCTACACGTTGCTGATATTTACCAAACTTTATTACGACGATATGGCTGATACCGAAGCTGCTGCTGCCCCGGCTCCCGCCAAGACCAAAAAGGCAAGCAAACCCAAGAAACCTTCTTCTCATCCACCTTATGGTCAGATGATCCAAGAGGCCATCACAAATTTGAAAGAAAAGGGTGGTTCTTCTCGTCAGGCCATTCAAAAGTACCTTGTATCCCACTACAAAATCGCTGCTGACAATGTGTCTGGCACCCAATTGAAGCTCGCCCTGAAGAGAGGAGTCACCAGTGGCCAACTTAAACAATGTAAAGGAACCGGTGCTTCAGGTTCTTTCAAAGTCGGAGAAAAGAAAACTGAAAAGAAACCAAAGGCCAAGAGCAAGAAGCCCGCCAAGAAAGCCGCTGCTAAAAAGCCCAAGAGTCCGAAGAAGACTGCCAAACCAAAGAAGGTCGCTGCTAAGAAGGCCAAAAAGCCCAAAGTAGCAAAACCCGCCGCTAAGAAGGCCAAATCTCCAAAGAAAGCAAAGAAGACCGCTGCTAAAAAACCGCTAAACCAAAATCGAAAGCCGCCAAAAAATCAAAGAAGTAAAAAAAAAAAAAAAAAAAAATGGACTAATTTATTTGAACAAGAAAAAGACTTGTAAATATTTGTACAGGGTTCATTCCTAGGACTGACTTCATCAAATCATTTTTTTTTAAACACTGCAAAGCGACATTTAGACTTTTTCATTGCAAATCTCCATAATTCATCATGATCATCCGAATTTAGATCATTGTTTTTTTTTTTTTTTTTTTTTTTTATTCGTTATCAGTCATGTTATCCATTTTTTTTTCATCTTCATTACATAAAACTGAATTTTTGAACTTAATTACTTGTTTTGTTTTTGTCTTTCTCTCCCCCTCGTTCTTAATTTTGAATTTCGTTGACGTGGTATCAAGTTCATCTCCCTCACTTGACACCTCGTTTCGCTTTTCCAATTTGTCTGCATTTCTTTTTTTTCTTCCCCATCTCCCTCTTAATCTTGTCATTTGCAAAGTTGATTTGTATATTTAAATCTGGCTCGTTTAAAGGAAAAAGAAATGCAGAAGTTGCAAGCTTTTTTATGACCATCAGAAAGAGTGCCAATATTTACCCCCACCACCGCGCGCGCACCTAGAAAGCCACGTAGGATAAAATTAAACCCGTATCCCCCCCACTCCGGTGGTCTTCCTCCGAAAGTTTTTCACTCTTTCTGGTTCTGTAAATGAAATTTACTGGCGGAGATTTTTTCTTTTTTCTCCTTGGAGAGTCTTCAAAGTCTGCCCCAAGGACAGAGTTGATTTCCTTGGGCATTAGTAAAATGCAGGTACGTATCTTTTTGACGATGAAATTCAAAATCTGGTGAGTTAAATAATTTTTAATTTAAACAAATTTACCGAACAAATTAAACCTGAATCTGGTTTCTGTAGATACACTATATAGCCTAAAATAATTAGACATTTAAGTTTAATTTGCTATTGATTAAAAGACAATCGTGTTGGTGCATCAAGATCTACTAATTTCGGGTGTGGAGGTGTTTCATACCTAATTCTTTTTGATGGCCAATAAATTGTTTCCGTATAGAAAACAAATCAATATTTCCATCCGCATTCAAAACTAATTAGAAGTGAAGTAACTCCCACCCAAAAGGTAAATTAAATTTATATATAACTTACTTGCAAAATCTGAGATTTCCCTTTGCGAAAATTTCGAAGTATGATAATTTAGCGCAAATTAATGGTGCTTAAAAGGAAAAAATTGGAAATTTGCAGCAATATGGAAAAAGCAGCTTGTGATTTGAAGCTGAAAAACTTAATCTCCATGAAAATGAGTAACAGGAGTTTCTTTTGGAGCATACGTAGATACGTAAATATTTGACTTTGAGTTAAGGGGGAAAAAAAAGAGGAATGCATTTAAATTTTTTTTTTTTTTAGCAAAATTGATCTGGAAATAAAAATGTAAATCTACTTTGAAATGTCCGTTAACTTACGTTGTGTTGACAGATATGCCAATATTGAATATACGAAGCGGGTAAGAGTGGGAATCTTCTGATCTATTTGAAATACATCAAAGTATTAACTTAATTGAGTAATAATTAATTTAATCTATTAGATTCGAATTAAAATTAAACCTTCAGGAAACAATTTTTTAAAATCGCTTTTTTTCGGTGTTTGGGCGGGTAATCTAATTTTAGGCTCGAATGAGGAAACTTCAAAAGATATGTTCACCTTTTGAACTCTACTTTATATTTTGTGCCGTCGAAGTGACTTTTTTAAAAATAATCCCAGGTTCACTCGTTATCGGCATTATAAACAAGTTTATAAATCGCCTTAAAAAATTGTCAGATTGATTTCATTCAGTAAATTTAAGGCTTAATTGGATTTTGTAAATACAATGAAAATAACGGTGGATTGCCATCAAGTTCACAGGTTAATAACAGTAGTTGGCAAGCGCGCGAAAAAGTTTTAAAAATGCGCAATCAAGTAATTGGTATTTATCTTTAAAAATAAATTCTTTAATCTTATCAATAGTTTAAGAATAGGATTTTATGAATATTTTATTCTACAGGGCAGTCCAAAAGTCTTGTCACCCGCTACAACTCTTTCAAACTAGCAGCTCGTGTCAGTGAAATAGAAAAATATTATGTAGGGGTAACAAGACTTACGGACCACCCTGTACATGAGAAGTATAAGAAAAAAGTTAAATGACGTTTCTGCGGTTTTTTTCACCTGCTTGAGGTCAAAATATTTTTTATACGCGCAATGAGTGCTTTATAACTATTCTGAATTTAAAGTTGATTAAACTAAAAATGGGTGGGGGGGATAAAACTCAATCTTCTGAGAGAAGATATTCAAATATCTCCTATACAAAAAAGAATCTAACAGTTGTGAAAATAATTTTTAAAAAAATTCTGATACGAAAATGCCATCAAACATCTTTAATTTAATAAAAAAAATTCATTGTAGATTTTTTTTCTGTCAAATCTAAAAGAAAATATTTTTATTAAATTATGCAAGCACAATATCTAAGGAAAGATCTCTTTTCAGTTTTCTATTTTTGTAAGATTTCGGGACAGATTTTCTCATTTGATATTGCAAAGGTTTTTACTGAAATATGTTAGGCGATTTTTTTAAATAAAACTAAAAAAATATTTTCCGTTATCCCCGCCAACTTTAAAAGTCTTCACACTGTATCGAAACGTGAAGGTGTAATTGACCCACTCCCAAAAATTTCTCCAATATTTCCTAATAAAATAACTTGTGCCGTATACAATTTATTCATCAATTGCTGAAAATTTAATTTAAATCGGATAATTCTCTGATTTGAAGGAATTTTAAATATTGGGTAGCGGTTTTTTTTTCATTTTAGAAAAAAAGCCATCCATTTTATCGGCACTTTGTGCATATTTAAGTTTAACTTTTTTTTTCCTACTGCGATATTTACATCTGTGTGTAAGTATAGAATTTGTCATTTAGGCTTTTTTTCCTACTGTGATATATCTATAATTCTCAAAATGTGTGTGTGTGTGTGTGTGATCGGATGTTGTTTATGCGTTTCCAGTTTTCATCCGATTTCGATAAACTTTTTTTTGTTTGATAGATAATTTTTTGGTTTTGAGTCCAAATTGGCTGGAAAAAATTACAACCTTGAAGGTTAAAAATCGAAAAAAACTGACTTTTTTACATTTTGCGCCAAAATCAAACGCAAAATTTTATGTCTGTAAAAAAACAGTGTACAATCAAAATTATTAGAATTATAAAAACAAATTATATTATAAATAAAAATTATCGTATATTATTATTATGACGGTCCATGGAAGAGGTTCCTTCCTTGCAAGATTGAGAACGCAAAAACGGCCCTTTTCAGCCTCCACCCCATTCAGATTGTTACATCCCCTTAATTTGGGGATGCCTTAGTTGTACCCAATTGTTACTGATATTGATTTTCAGGTCGGCTGAATTTAAACTTAAACTGTTTATCGGCAATTTTTAGTATCAACACGAGATTTTTCTTGTTAAAAAGTTGAAAGTTTTAATACATTCAATATTAGGGCTAAAAAAAATAATGAATCTTGTAGCGTTTTTTAGAGACTTAGCATGAACAAAAAAAATCACGAATTTGGACAAAAAATAAAGAACACAGAATAAATTAAAAATCCGAAAATTTTTCATCTTTTATTGGTTGTGATTTGTTTTTTGTTTTTTTAATTTGTAACGTAAACGTAGCTAGAAAAAAAAAAGCTAAGATAGCAAGTGTCACAAAGCAATACCCGGGGCCCCCCAATCAGTCTTACCTCTCTCCAGTATTTACCCTCGTCTCACCACTGAGACGTGGTGGCACAAGGTCGGGTTCAATATGGTGAACCCGAGCGCGTACACTTTATTTCCATTACGCCGTGAAGCAGCCATCTCTAATATATTCAATATTCAAGTCAGGAATAACAAAACAAGTCTGAAAAGAAATTCACAAATATTAGTATACCTCATACTAAAAGAAAGTGATTATATATATATATATATATATATATATATATATATATATATATAAATAAATTATGTGTGTGTGTGTATAGATAAATAGATAGATAGGGAACATAAATACAAGTATTATTGCTTGTGAGAAATTTTTCAATGCATTTATAGCCTAGGTGTCAAAAACGACACCGGCCATTCAAGGTAAGACCTCAAATATCAGCTATTCCAGTGAATATTTTTTAAAGAATTAAGTCTGTTAAGCATCTTTGCTAAAATTCAATAATTGTCCATAAGCCTCAACATCAAACCAAAACTAGTTATTCCATAGTAATTTGTTGAAAATTTGAAGGTGTCGAAAACGACCCCTCGGCCATCTTAGTGTTAACTTTTCCCCTTTTATTTTTATTTTTTACATAGCAAACTGAGTTCCCTATTAACATTTTGGAAATTAACTTCTTTTTTTTTACTTGAGATCTGAAGTGCGTAATTGTTAATATGAAGAAAAAAAAAGATTATTTTTTAAACTGATGCGTTTCTGTAGATGAAAAGAAAGTTTAAGAAAAACATTTTTCGTTTAAATATTTAAAATAAATGTAATATTTTCGTTTGCTATTTTGTTAATGTTTTTTCAATTTTTCTCTTCCTTCTTTTTATAAAATAAATTACCTGTCTACAGACTAACTGATGGTGATAATTGATTTTTTCTAAATATTTATTTAAAAAAAAAGAGGATTAGTGTTGTCAGTAGTGATGATGGAGATAAACCTTTTGATGTTATTTATCTTTAAGTTACCATGCATTTCTGATTCACCTGGTTTTAGCTGAGTCGAGAGTTTAGTAAAAACTACATACATTACTCAACTTTTAAAGTCTGGTCAAAAAACGAGGCTTTAATTAAATTTGTGAATACACACAGGAAGGCAATTGATGGCGAGAGGTCTAAAATGCAATATGGCTGACAAAACAGAGAGATAGCATAGTCTGG